GCACCTTGCCCAGTAAGCACCAGCCCACTGACAGCACCATGCCCAGTAAGTACCAGTTCACTGACAGCACCTTGCCCAGTAAGCACCAGCCCACTGACAGCACCATGCCCAGTAAGTACCAGTTCACTGACAGCACCTTGCCCAGTAAGCACCAGCCCACTGACAGCACCATGCCCAGTAAGTACAGATCTACTGACATTTCCTAGGCTGGTAATACTCCATCAAGGTCATGCAACCGGCTACTTCCTGCACAAGTCCAGTTCTTTAACTGCTGTGCCACCTGCTGCTCAGCTGATTTGTCAGCTGCTCTTCTCTCATCTGCTAATCTGCTCTGTAGGCGACTCATTCACATCAGTCATGTGAAAAAGCACATTGTTTATCATGCATTTCCCCCGTTTGCAGATTTCCCGTACAACAAGTCAGCCTCATTGCCGGGTTATGGCAGAAACGGGATCTACAAGGTGAACCCCGTCGCAGTCTCCCGTCGCGGACCATGTCCTCCATGTTGGGTTTGGGCGTCTCGTATGGAGGAAAGCGATGACTGAGGAGTGACTCTGTGCCTTTAAGGGCCTCGAGGATCGCTGCGGTCTAGCTGCAGGATGGTGGGGGGCATAAAAATGGCGTCAATACTGCTGAGGGGGTTTTATAGGCTACTGAGCGGCGGGCACGCCACAGACTTGCAGAGCACGTGTGCCAAGCGTGCCAGGGAGCCTCCTCCGCCGCCCCCCACGCGGTGCGCCCCTTAGCCAACTGGCCGGGGAGCCTGGAATCGAGCAAGATGGCGATTGCTGACACTGGACATCTGTACATCGTACATCATCTGCAAATCGGGTGGCTTAAGAGTCAAAACACTGCAAAATACTGCAGTCCCTATTGGACTGTGAAAAGATGCCGCAATTACTATAATTGCTCCTTTCATGGCTCCCTGAGGCTTTAGGGTTCCAGATGAATTCAGATTTACAAAATAAAAATAAAAAATAAATTTTTATGAACTAATGTAATGTTTTGTTTGATATTGCTCCATTTTTTAGAAATTGTTTCTTAGTTTCACGTTCTTCTGCATGGCTGCTGTGTCGAAGCCCGAGTGGTTGCACAGGCCGGCCAGTAGGTGTCGCTTTATCTCAGTTATCGGCAGGTGAACCTCTTACAGAGGAATATGGGCATTATAAATCGAATCATTCACTGTTCCCTGGGCATCAGTTGCAAGTGAACGCCCTGGAATGCTCACACTTCTGTTTACTCACTGAGCAAATGCTTTTCTGCAAAGTGACATATGTGAGTGAAAATCGGAATGCAGGGTTCGCGTCCCTGGGATTTGAACTCTAGACATAGACATAGGTCCTTAACTAACTAAGCAACACCACATTTAACCTTTTAAACTTGATTTGAAATGTGATGCCTCTTTTTAATTGGCTCAGATGAAGGTCCAGTCCTTCGTCCCTCGTTTTCTACATGATGGTCTGTTTAATTGTGGACACAATTAGGCAGCGTAACTGAAGGGGGTAGGAAGGATCTCAGGAAGGGGGAACTTATGAATGAACCACAGCCTCTCTGAACCATCCATGTCCCTCTTCTGCAGGCCTCTGACCTCGCTGAGGACAGCCCAGACCAGGACTCCAGCTGGGGCATGAGAGGTAGGGTGTTGGCTCCCTGGGTTTAGACCCAACACTCCACCTGTGTCCAGCAGCAATCTGTCTAGGCCAGCGGTCGGCAGCCTTTTCAAAGCAAAGAGCCATTTTATCCTAAGTGTCTGAGACAAGATTTACAAAGAGCCGCAATGGATAGAGAAAAGGGTTTGAGACACAATTTTTTAATGCGATATCGGTATATATGCATTTGACACAGATACAAAACTTGAAGTACTTACAAAAATAAAGAAAAACAATTTCGGGGCGTGGAGGGGGACTCTGTCTTAAATCACTCGGATGCGTAACAGCTCAAAGGTGACTAATATCATAATATCGTTCAGTTCTGTAACGAGTCGTCACCCTCACCCCTTCTTTCTGAGTAAAATTCATTTGGCTCTGCAGTCGTTTGGCTTTTACTCTCCACTTCACTACTTGTAACTGTGCTAAACCACCAGTGCAAAATGTACTCGCGAACCGCAGGTTGCCCACCTCTGGTCTAGGCCCATAAAGGCTTTGTTTGAAAGATAAAGGCCCAGTCCTGATGAGTTTCCCATTTGTCAAGTTCTGACACATTTTGGAACAACAAACTGAAAACCAATTTGTGTGCACAGCACCCATTACAGGATTTGTATCGCGGTCTCTCCGGCTGTCAGTGATGTGGCATCTCTGTCTTCTCTCTTTCAGAGTACAAGGTGAGGGACGTCACTCACAGGAGCGAGGGGGGTGTGGAGGCGTGGTCAGGTGTAGGGGGCGGGATGTGAGCATGCTGCTGCCACGGCGACCGTGTCCTGCTTCTCAAGCTCTTTGTGTGTGCGTGGTATCCAGGTGTACCCCTACAACGTGCTGGCGGTGACAAACCGGGCCCGGGTGAAGCTGCCCAGGGACGTGGACAGGACCAGGCTGGAGGTACGATGCCCCCTGGCTGCAGGGTGTGTTTACTGCACCCCGCTCTGCAATAGACCATCTGCAGAGACAGACTTTCCAGGAGAATAGCTCTCTTGGTTTCAGTGGCACTAGACTCCAGCCCAGCTGGATCCTATGGTGTGTTAGTTGTATGGATAGATCTCTTCATTGACACTCAAAGAGCAGCTGAGAAGCTTCATGAACCATCTGCTGTATTTTTTGACCCCACTAGATGGCGCTCTTGATTTGCTTTAGGACATGCTTTGTGCCCTATTTGGAACAGAGAGCACCATCTAGTGGGGTCAGAAAATACAACAAGTGGTTCATGACACTTCATTTGGCCATCATTACTTTAGTCATGTTGTACGAACAGTAATCAGCATTAGGGAGGTTTAAGTCCAAAAGGGCCCAGGGAATACTTCTTTGCAAAGTGCTGTACATGACCCAGTACAATATCTTCTACAAATTCTGTAGGGCAAATGGAGCAATAGGCAGGGAGGGTGGTTGGGAAAAGTGGTCTAGTTAGTCCTTCAGGAGAGTCACATGGTTCTCTGAGAGTATTCCAGAAAAAAATCTACTTAAAACACCAATATGTTTCTTGAATTCAGTACGCTTTGTAAATTGAAGACGGTTTTAAAAAATAGTTTAAACCCCCATTTCCGGGCATGACTTCACTAGTACATGGTTGTGATAAAAATCAGCTGGCAGTTGGCAAATTACTTTCTTTTATTCAGTTATGAGAATTTCTATCAAACTGCATCTTTAAGTTTTGCCCGACTCCAGCTGGAGAAACACCTCCCGCATGGGCTGGCGGTTAGGATACTACACCCAGGACCTTAATGGCTTCCGGAAGATAGAAAATCAGCACCAGAAGTCTCCAGTCTTTGTCCAGCAAGCTCTTCATAAAACAGTGCTGTGCAAAAGTCAAAGAAAAGAAAAGGATGTTTAAATGATCTTCATGTTGGTGTAAAACTATGATATTATACCTGTAAAGCATGTCAGCTTAAATGTCACCCCAGCATCTGCAGCAATCATCCAAAACACCCATGTATTTTTTCACTGGACCGACTAATAAAGTTAATTACCTAACTGAGCTGATGGTGAAATTTAAAAAATAGATGGAATGGCTGAGCTGCCTCTGAGAAGAGGTTTGGGAACTGAGGCAGTGTTCATCTCACCATTCAACAAGAAATCAGTAACTTTTTGGAGAACAGAAGAATTATTTAACTCTTAATTTGCGTACAGTATATTCTACTGCTAAATTGTTTTTCTTCCTGGGCAAATATATACCTACTATACAGATAAATAGCCTTGAACATTTTGTTTGACTGTCTTTTGCTTACCATGGTAGCACTTCTGCAGAAAGAATACTAGAATGTTCCGGCTGTTGGATCTCCGCATTGAAGCGCTTGCCACATCCTGTCATGTTTATGCATCCATTTCCTGTCTCGTCGTCTTTTCAGCGCCACCTGTCTCCTGAAGACTTCCTTCAGGTCTTTGGGATGACCATCGAGCAGTTTGACCGCCTGGCTCTGTGGAAGAGGAATGACATGAAGAAGAAGGCGTACCTTTTTTAACAGCTTGGTTGCAAACAAAACAAAAAATAAACAACAGCAGAGGAAATGTCAAAGCACCACCGTGCTGTTTGGTGCCTCCTGTAGTATGTATAGGGAGGGGGTGCCCAAGGAGTCATTCGAGGGCACGGAACGTTCTGGCAACGTTGCCTCTGCATGGAAGCGGGCTTTCCTAGCCGCTTCTGTTTGCCGACAACGTTACAGAAACGTTTCTAGATGACTGGGGGATGCTGCATTTGCATGGCTGGCCGTCCCGTTCCATCTCCCTCCTGTGTGATTTCTGAACCTTGCTTTCTCGCTGTTCCTGGGCAGGAGCGATGCCCAGGCCATCAGCGGCCACTCTCAGCACGAAAACACGACGTGTGCAGCTTAAATCCATCATTGTTACAACACTAGTTTAGCTTAGAGCAGTTGCAGACCAGATAAACTGTAGGACAGCATGCTGAGGCCAAAGAACTGGTCAGGATGTCAGTTATTCAGGGGTTATTTTATGCAAACGATTCTCAAAGCACCTTATGTTTGCTTCATCGAGACCTTTTGAATGAATGTTGCAAGTTCACTTTTTTGCTAGGTAACCTATCTGTGCATGAGACTGGGCTCTTTCATGCTATTCTGGAGGCCTCAGAATCAGTGATGGGCAAATGAAGCTTCATGAACCATTTGCTGTAGTTTTTGAACCCACTGGATGGCGCTTTTGGTTTGCTTTGAGCCCTTTTATGAACAGAGAGCACCATCTAGTGGGGTCGGAAAATACAGCGAATGGTTCATGAAGCTTCATTTGGCCATGACTACAGAATCAATTAAGCTGGAGAACGTGAAGGACATTGAATCACAGGGGAGTGAGTGACACACTTCCTGTCACATGGCAGACCACCAGTCACAGGGAAGCCTTAACTTTGCAGTTGCCAGTGTTCACAGTCAAATTCAAGGTGGTCACAATTTGAAACCTATGACTCATATTTTTTTAAGGCACTGGTGGTAAACGGTTTTCATTCTTTATGCCTAAATTATTTTTATACTCTATTTTTGTCTTCAGAAAAAGGTCAATATGACAGTGACAGCAAGTGATTCAATTGTGTATCTATTTCATAAAGCCAATATTAGATTTGTTTTTAGGTTGATGCATTTTGCTCACAAAGCAATACATGGTGTTCTGTTCCGTCCTGTTTAAGTTATACATTATCATCATTCACATATTTTTTTCTGGTAGGGATTATCTTGTACATATTTCCCCTGCAACTGCCTATAATTTAATATAAACTGCCAGGCAGAAGGCAGAGATTACAGTTATATTCACTAACACTGGATGTTTCCATTTTAACAATGAATATTTTAGGGTCTGTAATCTTGACATGCTTATTGTTGTAGAGTTTACAATAAATTTGGCCTTTCCAAGTATTTGCATGAAAGAGAGATGGCGATCTCTTCAAAGTTATCCTCGTGGTGTTATTTACTAAAGAAACGATAATACAGAAGTTTGCATTACATATATTTGTCTCCTGATTTCGCAGTTTAATTTAGGTATGAATTGTAAGACAGCTTTGCTTTGTGTCAGATAAAACTGTAATGGAGAGAAAGTAGATACTGAATTTGAGACAGAATCTGGGGAAATTGCTGCTGTTTATGATACTGTGGAGAAGTTGAACAGATGGTGACGACGTCGTGTGGTTCTGCATCACATATGAGCCTCCATTTGCACTCCACCTGCCCCCCCCCCCCTCTCCCCCAACACACCTATACATGCTCATACACTTTTTTGATTTTTGGAATCTTTTTCTTTAAACATGATCAGTTGTTGTCATCTAAAACAGCCTTCGGAATAAAGCTATAACTCATAAAGTATTAAAGTGCATTTCGGGCTGCTCGTGCAGGCTGACTGGGTGGGGTATGAGGCGTTTTGCATGCTGCCGTGTGGTGCTGCTGTATCACGATGACACAGAGGCAAAATCTGCGTAGTGTGCGTCCACATTCTCCATCAGGGAAGCCTTAATTGTCATACCCTGTTAAAGTGTCTCTAGCGTTGCTGGATTCCTGTGGGGCTGTGCTGTTTGATCAGCTGTAGAGACAGAGGGCTGTCACTCCATGCTAAGGCTGTATGCCTGGCACATTGCCAGACAGCCCCCTTCTTCCCTGACAGAAACTGCCTTCTCACCCAGAGACAACAGGCACCCCCTAGAGGAAGCCAATTTATATTTCAGTGGACTAAGAATCCCACGCGCTCCCCAACTGCATATTTTGTTTTTATTGCTCTTTTAAATCGGCTATCCAAAACAAACAATTCTTTATAGTACTTTCCAGAAAGACAGCTGAGGAATATCCATTGCTTTGTTTTTACAGATTACCTGTTAGGTTGTAAGATAAGTGAATGGTAAATTGGACATTTTTGTAATGTTTCTGTTATTAGTTTACCGTAACACTGGTACACATGGAAGCTTAGGGAGAGATGATGCTAGTTGCTAACATTACCTGGATTTTTATATTTTGCCACCAACTGCGAATGATTTTTCGCCTTATTTTTCTCGATAGTGACACGCAGCTTAGGTGACGTAAGGCTGTTGGCAGCACCGTGTACTTGTGTGTAAGTCCGTGACTGAGAAGAGGCCACGACATCGCCCAGCGCTGTTTGTCGATTTAATGTAAATGTGTGCCGATAACCCTTCAAGTTCTGCTGTAACTAAGCCTTTTTTTTGTTTTTGCTTTGCTGGTTTGCTGATGTCCATCTTTAAAATAAATGTTTCATTCAGTACGTCTTTTCTTGTGTTTTCGTGTCTGTGCCCATAATTTTAAGGACTCGCTGAATAAACACCACTGGCTGAAACAGAAAACATTAACCAACCGATGAAGTATGTGTAGTGGGATCTTTTTTTACTTAAGCCGTGAAATCTGTGCTGTGGAACAAGGAGTTTTAACTAGGCTTCTCGGTGTCTTTTTTTCAGCACCACATTATATTGCAATGTTACAGTCAACGCCCTAAGTCATATTTCCAGCTGTAATAGAAAAACATTAGGTTCAGCCTTGACTTCTCAAACAAAAGCTTTGAATAATGTCCTCTAGTGGATACAGAACTGAAAAAACTCTTTTGTTTTTATTTTCTTTTGTTTGCTTTACTTCTTTTCTGAAAATACGTTTATTGTTAACCTCTATACCAATACTCCCCCGTATAGCAGCTCCCATTCTCCGATATCTACGTCTATCTATTTTACAGCTGAAAAAATATATGAATCATATTCTTTGTTACACAGTTACCGTACAATACTTGCTTAGGATATTTGGTATTGCCGAATTCCCACAACCGGTCATCATAAATAGCACACATTGTTAGAGCGTAAAGTCTGGGGGAAAAGGAGCCAACAAAATTAGATATTTTCATCGAAGTAAAATGTTTTTTTCTTTTAGTTTACACTAGTTTCAAAATGGCACATATACTCTGCTGACAGTAATTCAACAGTTAAAGCACAATACGATATAAAAATATTCAGATCACAGTAACTTTTTATTTCAGAGTTTATTAAATCAAGTGATAGACTCATGGCCCACAAAAAAGCGATCACTTAGCTATTACACGATTTGCTTTCCAATTTCTACGCTCAATATGAAAAGGAGGTTCACTGGAGCCACTGATTGGCTTGTTTTTTTCAGTACGGCTTTTAAGTGGTCTTTCCATCCGTCAATCAAACGCGGCTCTCAGACGTGATTGGCCGACACGCATGTTAATTAGACTTCATTCTGACAGTTCCATTGCTGAATTTAAATACCCGAGGTGGCAAGACCTGGATGCGCACATCGGAGGGGATTCTATTGTCAGAGAGCTGGGTGAAGCATTAAAAGCACATGGGAGTTAGTGGAAAAGGTGAGTGGTGCTTCTTTGTTTGTTGCTTCCATTATAGTATTGTTTTCATGCGCTTATATAAATAAGCAATTTAGGATTTCAGAAGCATATTATGACTTTATAATGATAAATAGTCCACTGTTGTTGGCAATTAGAAATAAAAACAAATAAAAGCAGCAAAGTTAGGTTTTGCAGATAAATATAAAGGAAATGGTTATAAAAGTGGTTTGAATGGCGTGCGTGCATGTTGACCTGAGATTTACAGGTAAGTTATAATTTACCCTTCTGCGTGCGCACCTTTTTCTACTGCTTTTGTCCTGCATATTTGTCTAGATTCAAATCAGTATGAAATCTCAACATGCATAAAACTATTGCTATCTAAACCAACGCTGTGCAGGGCGTACCTGTAGTTTGTTGCAAAACAGGACACAAAGACTGTTTGATGTAACGGGGACAAAAGTGGCGGTGTGATGATGTATGGGTTGATGCTAATGATCTCCGATGCCGCCGGCCCTGGGCAGTCTTCATTAAGCCACAGCAGCGGGAGATCAGCTGGCGTGCATGTGACGGGGGCTGTCCCGACTTGGGGGGGGGCGGTCAGAGTAGAGTGGAGGCATTGTTAATTACTGTAAAATGCAGCCCGTATATTTTTGGATACAATAACAGAATGTTGATTTGTGGTGTATTGTTGGTGAATTGGCGGACATTTTTGTATATTGTCCAAAGGGTTATTACAATGGACAACATCCTTTGCTCTTGTTTATTCCCAGAATACGCGCCACCGTATGGGATTTCCTCAGTGCTCTGAAAACTGAGCCAGCTGGCCACGGTTCTGGCTCAACAATGAAAATCAAAATGCTCTATTTTGAAACGCAGGAGCCTTTAGCTGGTCCCTCTGGGATACTGACACAGAGGCACCGAAGCACACACTGCACGTTTTGACAGCCTCTCTGCACAGATAACATGAGTTAAAATTATAGTAGCTGATGGAGAGGAAGGTCGTCGCTTCCACATACGTCAGCCTGCTTTTGATGATTGAAAATATTATCGCCGTAGGGATACCCATTCATTTTCTGGCTAATAGCAGGTGCCGTAAGAGCTTTACTGAATGTAGGAGCTCCAATGCGTACCGCCGAGACATCAACTGTCGGTAAAGTGCTCCGTCGCGACCCCTGCTGGCAAATGATGTTCCTACTTCAAATGAAATATGAATACGTTTACAATACAATTGTTTAGCAGACATTTATCCGAAGCGATATAGAATAAAGAAAGCACGGTCAATCAGTGCCTGGAGTCATTGTGGTTAAGGGTCTTGCTCTTACCCTTGGGATTTGAACCAGCAACCTTCAGAATATACACACAAAACTTTAACCTGCAGAGCCACACATTGTCCAGTTCGGGTGTTGGATATGGGTATGGTTTTGTTAGTGCTTTGTGAGGTTGGAGGTACAAATCTGTTACTAGTGAGTTAGTGATGGATTGTTATTGTGCAGCAGGGGTGGAGTGCAGGCCTTTCCGACGGCCTCCCAGGTGAAACGTGAACGTATGCCACAAGGGCAGAGCTGAGTGATCTCAGTGGATTCTTATCAGTAAGCGTGATTTGTTTCAGATGCCAGAGTCTAATACAGTGAGTCTTCATGTTACCACGGCTGATATTTAATCCTAATGGTTCCGGGAGCCCCCGGCAGCTGGTGTCATTGTCCTCAGCATATCGATGCTGTGAGCGATAATGACATCATAGCTCTGGGACGTCTGTGTTCCCAGGGATGAGGTGAGGGTCGCTGCTAATTTCAGCGTGAATGCATGTGTCATTTTTATGATGGGTTATAAAGTTTTGCTCTGTTGGAGATGAGTTTGCTGTTTTCAGCCCTGTGTAGATCCTCCCATACACTTCCCTCATGGGGGTGGGGGTAGTATTTCAGCCCGAGCATACTCCCATCATCCACTTCCTTTGTTGGGGGGTTAGATTGTTGTGTACAGCCCTGGATTACTCTTCCCACCCAGTTTGTTGATTAGGGGGAATTTTGCATCCTCTCTGTCAAATTCATTGATCACTTGTGAGGACTTGCCCGTTACTTAGCTGGCTGCATTTTGCACACATTGTATTCATGGGGTTAGCTGGGGCTGGAATGAAACGATATTTTATAAGTATGTATTCCATCTAATCCTCCTATGAAAGACAAGCCACCATTTGCCTCTAGTGAGGTTGATGGTCACTCTGCCAGCCACGGGATGTGAACCGGCAACCTTCCGGTAACAAGCACAGGAGCCTGAGTGACAGAGCCACACACTGCCCTCAAACCTAATGCATTGCAGCTAGTATGTGGATGCTTTTTTAAAAATAAGATGAGAAAAAATAAACTGCCAACAGCATTTGGGTCAACTAATGTCTGTCTAATTGTCTGTATATCTGTCTGCCTGTGTGTGTGTGTGTCTGTATGTCTACCTGTGTGTGTGTCTGTCTGTCTGTGTGTATGTGTGTCTGTCTGTGTTTTTGTGTCTGTATGTCTGCCTGTGTGTGTGTGTGTCTGTATGTCTACCTGTGTGTGTGTCTGTCTGTCTGTGTGTATGTGTGTCTGTCTGTGTTTTTGTGTCTGTATGTCTGCCTGTGTGTGTGTATGTGTGTGTGTGTGAGAGAGAGAGAGTTGCTCACTGGCTTGTCAGTGATCCGGACCCGGTCTGAGGGGACATGGGGGTTATAGATCTCCCTTATCATGCATGCAGGTTTAATGGATAGGTGCCCAGCTCCATGGGGAATGGGCCCAGCTGGTGAGGGCAGCTGTGCCCCCCCCCACTTCATGCTTTACTCTTTTTTCCTCCATTGTCCCCCCCCTTGCCTGTGATAGCAGTGCCAGCTGAGGCATTACGGCCACTGTTAAAACACATCCACCCCCCGGAGCACAGTGCAGGGGTGAGGGCGTGTCCTGCTCACTGCAAAGGGACTGATAATTACACACATTCGAAGGAGGGACTGGAGCAGAGGAGCACCACCCCAAAATTGACATGAACCCTACACACAGAACCTCAGATCCCCCGAGGTGCCTGGCTTGGCTGTCCATTTTGGGGGAGGAGGGGGGACGGTGGACTCCCCCCACGCTTGGTCAGATTACCCATTCATGCTGTGGGAGAGCAGCGCCGCACGGTGACTTGTCCGTCCTTTCTGAGTGGCGCTGTTTCTGCCCATACTCTCTGCTGGGTGTCCCGAATCTGCCGTCCCCTCATGGCTGCCCTCCCCACTGCCTGCAAGCCAAGACGGAGCTTGTTACGCCCCTGGATGCATGTCTGTGGCTAAGGGAAGTCATATGTGCTCACTGTGCTGGGATTCCCTCAGGGAAGTCTCTCTCTTCTTCCTATAACAAGAGGAAAGCAAGACCTTATTACAGTAATAACCCAGGATGAGAGTCACTCAGTCTGGAGGTATAGTGCTGTAAACTTCTGAGTTAAAATTCCCTTATTCTGTCTTATAATTCATGTCTCAAACAGAAATCTGCATGTCCAGCTTCTCAAGAAATGAACAATGGATGAGCAGGGTCAGTCTTACTCTGTTTCTCTCCTAAAGACTTTTTTTTTGAGATGTCGTGTTGTATTAAAATACTTGATCTATTTATGCAATTTCAGGTTCCCTTGTAAATATTATGAACATAGGCAAGGGGGTATTCCAGAAAGCAGGATTTCTCAGTTAGCTGGTTTAACTTAATCTAGAAGTCATGATCATCCAATCAGAGTTTACGTAGGAGCATTTCTATTGGATAATCATAACTTGTATCTTAAGTTAACCCAGCCAACTGAGAAATGTAGCTTTGTGCATAGAGTAGTGAAGTCAGCACACTTTCCACGTGCTTGGAGTTTGGGAGGAGATCCAGGTAAGAACAAGGAACACACTGCGGTTCAGACTGATTACCATAGACATGTGAGAGCT